AAATTTGTCACGTACCTCAAGACTTTATTTGAAACACCTTAAGAAGTTTAATAAATCCAATAAAACTCTATCAGAACCTTTTCACAAGATTCTAATTTTCTGATATGCTGAATTTGAGATTTTGTTGTCATTTGTAATCATCAAAATTAAACGAAATAAACATTTGAAATATATGAGTTTGTATGTAATGTATGAATATAATATACAAGTTTCACTTTTTAAATGGAATTACTGAAATAAATCTACTTTTTCATGATATTCTAATTTTATGACCAGCACCTGTATACTTCTGCCCACTCCTTTTTGAGCATATGTAAATTATTTGTAATTTTTCTGTTGCCTTCTACTGTTATGTTCAATAAAACTTATACCTTATTAAAACAAATAATACAACTACAACATTTCATCACTGTGGATTTCGTTAAGACATTTCTTAAAGTTTAAAAATAATAATATTGGCAACAAAACTAAAAATTTATAAAAGTTGAAAAAAATCTGATAGATTGTTGTGTATGCCTGCAAAATGATGTGTAATCTGTGTAAATTATAGATAATCCACACACCTTGGCATGTATGCTCACTGTTGTTTGGTTTGAGCTCCTAACGAGCCACCCCTCTACCATGTAGGAGCACAAATGTTTGAAAACAAAGTCACCATGGTCTCTATCTTTACGTTCTGCTCAGAATCGGCTGATAAAAGCTATGTTTACATGTGCAAAATTCTTTGATGGGATTGAAATGTATTCGGATTAAATAATCTGAAGATATGGTTTTCATGGACACAATCTGACCATGAAGTGTTTACATGACACATTTTATTCTGAATGGCCGTTGAATCTGATCACTTATGTCCATGTAAATGTAGCTACTGTTAGTGTTTTGGCACAGACAACTTGTTATTGAAAGCTAACGTTAGCTCTGAACGTCAACCGGATGTAAACATCCGTCAAACCAGGAGTGACAAAATATGGAAACATGTTTCAGACCCACGCACCAGACGCCATGAGGAAGAATCAAGCTCATGTCCTGTGAATCAACTTAACAAAATTTAAATGAAATCAATCCAAGATGGATGAAATCAGTTTTTGACCAGCCTTAAAATGAGTGTTTATTGTGAAGTTGGTCTTACATTTATTTTCAGGTGGCATCCAAAAGTCTAAAGTCTTAAAGTGAACCTGCTTTAAGCTGCAGGAACCCTGTCCTTTGCTGTGTTCAGGTCTTCTGGAACTCGTTAGCCAGGACTTACTGGGTCCACTGGCACATGGTGGAGATCCTGGGCAGTGGCAGCAGCAGCCAGTCTGAGAAGGAAACACAAGAGAAAGCCTTGTCCCTGACAGAGACCCTGAAACTCACCACAGGTTCATGATGAGCTCCACTGAACTGCTGCTGTTCCTCCTGTTCCTCTGAGCCTGGCCTCATTCTGATCACCTCTCTGCTCCTCAGTGACTCAGACCTTCTTCTCCAAGCCTCCTGGTGGACTCTACTCACTGCCGTACCTGCTGCAGAGACCGCAGCCTGAGCCTGCAGTGCTGAGCCGAGCTGAGTGGTGGGAGGTCCTGTTCTTCATCAAGAAGCTGGAGTCCACCCAGCAGCAGGAGGTGACCAGCATCCTGCAGCAGAGCCTGGAGGAGCAGGTAAGACCTGAGCTGAGTGTGCCATCTGCTGAAGAACCACTGGAACAGTTCTGGAACCACTGGAACAGTTCTGGAACCACTGGAACAGTTCTGGAACCACTGGAACAGGTCTGGAACCACTGGAACAGTTCTGGAACCACTGGTCTGGAACAGTTCTGGAACCACTGGTCTGGAACAGTTCTGGAACCACTGGAACAGGTCTGGAACCACTGGTCTGGAACATTTCTGGAACCACTGGTCTGGAACAGTTCTGGAACCACTGGTCTGGAACAGTTCTGGAACCACTGGTCTGGAACAGTTCTGGACTGGTGTGTAGTGGTTACAGCTGATCTGTTCAGATGTTTTAAGAGCTACACACAGTTGTGTAGTGTAGAGCTGCACACAGTTGTTTAGTGTAGAGCTGCACACAGTTGTGTAGTATAGAGCTGCACATAGTTGTGTAGTATAGAGCTGCACATAGTTGTGTAGTATAGAGCTGCACATAGTTGTGTAGTATAGAGCTGCACACAGTTGTTTAGCGTAGAGCTGCACGCAGTTGTGTGGTATAGAGGTGCACACAGTTGTGTAGTATAGAGGTGCACACAGTTGTGTAGTGTAGAGCTGCACACAGTTGTGTAGTAGTTACAGCTGGTCTGTTCAGATGTTTTAAGAGCTGCACACAGTTGTGTAGTATAGAGCTACACACAGTTGTGTAGTGGTTACAGCTGGTCTGTTCNTTGTGTAGTATAGAGCTACACACAGTTGTGTAGTGGTTACAGCTGGTCTGTTCAGATGTTTTAAGAGCTGCACACAGTTGTGTAGTGTAGAGCTGCACACAATTGTGTAGTATAGAGCTACACACAGTTGTGTAGTGGTTACAGCTGGTCTGTTCAGATGTTTTAAGAGCTGCACACAGTTGTGTAACAGCTAAGAGCAGTTGCACACTGTCTATGAAGGGTTGTGTAACGTTACAACCTGTTAGTCTACACTCAGCTCTGTCATCCTGAAGAATGTAACAGGATGTAGCAGATCTCAGCTCAGCCTGGACCTGTTCTGTCCAGGAGCTGGAGCTGGACGACTCGTCCCTTATCTGCCTGTCCGTCCCTGGAGACGTAGCCAAGAAGCTGCTGCACTACTTGAAGCAGAAGCTGCCGTCGTCGTGTCTCAGTGATCTGCTGTGCTCTCATGCCTTCTCCAAACACTATCTGAAGAGAGGAGGGGGAAGTCTGGAGGATGAGGAGCTGCTTGGTGAGGACACTGAACTGCTTGTGTCAGAACAGCTCTGTCCTCAGGACGTCCAGTCTCACTGTGCTTTGTTCTTCAGCTGAAAGCTCTCTGAGTGCATCCAACCTGGGAGGAGGTGGAGGAGGATCTCAGAGCTTCTCCTCTTCATCCTCTGCCTCCACCTCTTCTTCGTCAGCAATGGGATCCGTCTCCAAGAAGGCCAAGAAGGAATTTCCTGTGGACTTGAGCTGCTCAGAGACGGAGAGCGAGTTTCCCTCAGAAGACGAAAGCAAATATCCTGAAGATCTGGAGGACAAGATGAAAGGTGGGACCTGTTCCTGACTCAGACCTTTAATCATGACCTGAGGTTCCCTTTGTACACATCTGACTTCACACCCATCAAACTCCGTTTAAATATATCATCAGAAACACAAGCTGCTTTCAGTGACGCAAACAAGATGTTATTTTATTGTACATGTTCACTACATTTTAACATGTTTAACCAACAAACACAAACAACCCCCTGCCATGCACCTATTCCTACCAAACAACTAAAACAAGTAGAGAATATGAGAAACACTAGTATGAGAGAGAATAACAGCTTTATAAAAACATGCACACTGCTGTAGACATTATGTTTATGGATATATACACCCATACACAAACACCTCACTGTGGTGCTAATTAAAGTGTAAATAGCCCCCCCTTGAAAGCCAAACCCCGCCCCCAGGCCAATTTGAAAAATGCCAAGAGGGCACGGCCAAATGTGGGGTGAGAGAGGAGGTGTGGTCAGGACGAAGGAACGAGGCAGCTAGCTTAATTTGACAAGCTAGCATTCCTGACAACATGTGTAGTGTTGTTCAGATGCATAAAATGTAATGAAAAGTCTTTATTGGAGTTTCACAACACAAAGCATTTACAAATTACAAACTTGGTTTTAAATATTCTGCCATAAGTGTAGAATAATCTACATCGCAGGGTGTCCGAGGGTCCTTAAAAAGTCTTAAATTCACATTTCTAAAATTAACACGTTAAAAAGTCTAAATTCACACATCAAAAATTAAGATCTTAAAAAGTCTTAAAATCACACGTGTAAAATTAAGACCTTAAAAAAATCTTAAATTCACATCTAAAATTAAGATCTTAAAAAGTCTTAAATTCACATTTCTAAAATTAACACGTTAAGTCTAAATTCACACATCAAAAATTAAGATCTTAAAAAGTCTTAAAATCACACGTCTAAAATTAAGATCTTAAAAAGTCTTAAATTCACACGTCTAAAATGAAGATCTTAAAAAGTCTTAAATTCACGTCTAAAATTAAGATCTTAAAAAGTCTTAAATTCACACGTCTAAAATGAAGACCTTAAAAAGTCTTAAATTCACGTCTAAAATTAAGATCTTAAAAAGTCTTAAAATCACACGTCTAAAATGAAGATCTTAAAAAGTCTTAAAATCACACGTCTAAAATGAAGATCTTAAAAAGTCTTAAAATCACACGTCTAAAATTAAGATCTTAAAAAGTCTTAAAATCACACGTCTAAAATGAAGATCTTAAAAAGTCTTAAAATCACACATGTAAAATTAAGACCTTAAAAAGTCTTAATATCACACGTCTAAAATTAAGATCTTAAAAAGTCTTAAAATCACATGTCTAAAATGAAGATCTTAAAGTCTTAAATTCACGTCTAAAATTAAGATCTTAAAAAGTCTTAAATTCACGTCTAAAATTAAGATCTTAAAAAGTCTTAAAATCACACGTCTAAAATTAAGATCTTAAAAAGTCTTAAAATCACACGTCTAAAATTAAGATCTTAAAAAGTCTTAAAATCACA